ATCTATAATGAGATAATCATTAGTCACATATTGTAATCAATTATTCAAATGATTACTTCATAAACAGATAGAAAACAGTGGGCAACGAAATAGGAGAAGAGAGAGAGAGAGAGAGGACTTGTATTAGAAATTTAATATCACTAATATTTAAATGAACAACATAATTTTATTTAACTATGTTTAGTTTACATTATAAACTTTACAATTAAATAAATATTTTTTATAATAAAGTTTATTGTAAATAATTAAAAACATAAAAATTACAAAATAAAACAAAATAAACAGTTATAATAACATGTGAGTATTTTCTATAATATTTATAAACTAAAAATATATTTAAATGATATTTTTGTTATAATTAATAATGTATTATTGATATAACTGACGAATGAGTTATCAACAATTTATAGTCAATCAAGTTGATATCCTCTATGATTTTATTATATTAAGAATTCTGTAAAGCAATTCATTCTGTTTATAATATTAACAATTTCATAAATCCAATTTAAATTATGAAAGCATTTTCAGGACTCAGAATAAAGTTTAGAAAGCATGTTCAATGATTAGCCTTTAATTACACGTGTTTTCAACATTTTCAATAATCTACATGGAGTATTTATTAAAAATGTGTGCATACTTATCAAATTAAGTTTACAGTATGTGCTAATGTTTGAACAAATACCATATAATTTTCTAAAATCTATTACATTCCTGAAAGTATTTCCAAATTATTTTGCAAATAATATTTTTTAAAATATTGATTCTCACTGGTCAGTTCCAGAAAAACTATATTTAATGAGATGTCAATTGAAGCTATGTTATGAATATTTCATAAGCATGTGCTTATAATAATAGCTTAATTTCTATTTGTAATCGTTTATAATTTAGTAAAACAGATAGTATTTGAATTTTACAAATTCTATAATTATTAAGAATATGTTTGAATGTAATAATACAGTAAATAAATGTTTTGTAATATAACTGACAAATGATATCATATTTAATAAACTAGTTTTCAATTTGTTCACATTTCCTTAAACAAAACATTAAGTTTATGATCAATATTCTCATTATTGTCCCGAATTTACTAAAACATTAATCATTAGTCAATAAATAATTTTTAAAAAATTATCTCATTAATAATTTTCACAACCTTTAGAATTTTTAAGTTTTAAGTATACATTAAGTTTTCACAAGTGTTTCACAACCTTTGTTATAATGATTCACAACCTTAAAGATTAGCCAATTTCTGAGCACATATTGACAATCTTTTGTGTTATATATTCCTCCGATATTTGAAATGAGAGAACAATTGAATTGCATATAAAATATAGCATTCATTTAAATGAATGATTATTGCGGAAGTTTCCATGATATCAAATACAACTTAAATATAATAATTAAACTAAAATGCAATTCATAGTCAAAAATCTTTGATTTCTAAGCAAGATAATCAGATATATAGATAACAATATTTTATATCAAATCTATTAAACATTAACTGAGATAACAGTCTAACTGTAAGAATAAAAAGCATTGAAAAAGTCGGAGTTTGTATAATTTGATGAGTGAGTGTATAGTGTATTGAAGTATATGTGATAATTGTTTGAATTGAATGAAAGCTCATTTATGTTGATTCATGTATTCATTTGATCAGAACTCAGGCCAACCGAAGTCCTTACCCACCAAACGATAGAAGAGTCGATTGTGTGTCGCGTAAAATCGTCTCAATATCTGAATGACTTGCGGATCGATTTGCGGATGTCTTCGACCTTTACTTTCGTTCAGACATTTATCTGAAGTGCCGTTCAGTCGGACGCAAAAGAATCCTTTCGTTGAGTTATACGAGAAGTTTTCGCGACTTATTCGATGACTTAACCCTAAAAACTGTTCCACTTTTTGAACTTCAGGATAGGGATCATACACCAGACGGTCGCCATCGACCACATGCACCTGACTTTTAGGAAACACCTGGGTCCAACGCGAGTAATATATGGCATATATGCCAATGCGAACCGCTTTATAACTGGTGTTAATCTTTCTGCCATTTAATAGAATTAAGTCCTCGAATGAAGCCATTTGTCGGTCTTTCTTAGCCTTATTGGCGGCCAATTGGGCGTAATCTGAGATGAGACGAGTGACCGGATCCCTCACAATCACAATCAGTTTTGTCGACGCATTCATTGTGTGGATGCGTTGGGGCACTGACTCTGTTATGAAATACGCCGGACTCTTCTCTATCGTCACCTCATCTGTCGATGAATAAGGCATTTGGTTTCGATACCACTCCAGTCCCAGAC